CGCAGGGGCGCGCCCGCGTGGCCCGCTGGGCCTCGTTTGGCAGGCGTGACAGGCAACGGATGGTGTCCTCTTGGTTCTAGCAGGTGACCGCGCGCGGTTGAAGTCTGGCACGTTTGAAAAACAGTGCTGGTACATACCAGACAGTGCTTGCACTTGGGGGGTCGCATTTTCTCTTCCAAGGGACTCACTGGGCCTGGTTCTCGATCCGGCCGGCTCGGGGCCGCCCATGGCCGCCAGTCGCCAGCGCTCTCGGCCACGGTCTCGATCGTGGGAGGCTCGCACGTTGCGTGGTTTTGCATTGCGTTGCATTGTTTTGAACTGCTTTGCATCGCATTGTCTTGCGTTGCTGTGTAGTGCTTTGCCTTGCTTTGCGTTGATTTGCGTTGATTTGCATTGCATTGTTTCGCAGTGCGTTGCGTTGCTGTGCGTCGCTGTGCGATGCCGCGAATTGCTTTGCATCGCATTGCATTGCTTTGCATTGCTTTGCGCCGCAAAGACTGCACCGCATGTTTTGCACAACCTGGATTGCACCGCGTTGATTCTCGTGTCCACGACCAAAATTCGGATCTACCACCCCTCCCGAGGGAGGAATCAGCCGCCCGCTTTCTCGCATTGCAATGTATGTGCGATTCTGCCCCATCGGCCATCCTAAATACGAATGCGTATCACCAGCCAGGCCGGCATCGCCCCCCCCCTTCGCCATCGTCAGCAACGGCTATAGTGCGCGCGCCCACGCCTATCAAGAACCAGCAGTTTTCGAGAGCCCCATTGCAACAGACGGGGACTGAGTACGCGTGCGTGCGTCGTCGCGCGCGCCCAGAAATCTTTCGAAAACTTTACGTTTTGCGAGGGTTTCAGAATCGAGTGCCCCGAAACCGTGTCAACAACTATTTGATTTTGCAACGTCAGCTTTCGAAAAAAAGGTCTGCGCGTGTGTTTTTGCGAATTCATATGAAAACCATGTATTCTTCAACAATTTCGCCACATTCGACCAAACGGGCTTCTCGCGCGCGCATGTCAGAATCATTCGACCGCCCTTGCGCGCGTGTTGGCGTGTGTGTGTGGATGTGTGGATGTGTGTGTGTGTGTGTGTGTGTGTGAATGTGTGTGTGTGTGTGCGTGTGCGTGCGTGCGTGCGTGCGTGCGTGCGTGTGTGCGTGTGTGTGTGTGTGAGAGAGAGTGTGTGTGTGTGTGTGTGTGAGAGAGAGAGTGTGTGCGTGTGTGTGTATGTGTGTGAGAGTGTGTGTGAGAGAGAGAGAGTGTGCGTGTGTGTGTGTGTGTGTGTGTGTGTGTGCGTGCGTGTGTGTGTGTGTGTGTGTGTGTGTATGCGTTAGGGGGCGGGCGCGATCCCTGTCAAATAAGTCCACGCGGGCCGCTCGCGGGCGTCGGCCGCGCGTGCGTGTCGGAATCCTTGCCGACGCGAAGACATCGTCGTCATCGGCGTGATCAGCATCGGCGCTGTCGTTGGCCTTGCCGTCGTCATCGTCATCATTGTCGCCATCATCGCTAATGCCTATCATCGTCGTGTCTGCCGTTGTCGATGTCGCCATGATGCCGCGCCCGCCCAGGTCACCCACTCGCATTGAAGTGCACGCGCGCCAGCTCGGCCTGCGAGACACGCTTGGAAGTGCCTAGTGGTCAGCGCCACCGTGGTCGTGGTCGCGTCGGTCGCGCCAAGTTAGCTGGCCGCTGTGCGCGCGAGCATGCGCGGGCTAGCGCAGCCGCAGCGATGCACTAGCCAGCGCCAAACATCCATCGCAATCGCCGCCGCGTGGGCTTTGCAAACCAAGCTGCGGGTGGGTGGGTGGCATGATTGCGCGAGCATGGGAGGTTGCCACGCGCGAGGAGGTCAAAGTCAACTGCCCCACCTGGATTGCACCGCGTGCGTTGGAGGACATCGCTTTGGGGGGGCCCACGCTGGCTGACGTTTGATTGCTGTTATGGTCAAGCGCGTTTGTTCGATCAACGCGCCTTTTGCATGAGAGTGCTTGAAGGTGATGACGGGAGGAGTCGATATTGGGCTGCCTTGGACGGGCGGGTTCCAACGTAGGATGAAATGGCAGTGTCGCCCAAAATGGGAACAGCAACGGCGCTCCCGCCGTTTTGATTCTTTCAAAATGCGCGTTCTGTGGACGCTGGGAAGGCGGGGTGGGTCGAACCGGAGGGGGGGGGTCGAACTGGGATGGGCCCACCCTGGAGTTGCAGATGGTGGGGCCGAACCTGGGGGGCGACTGGCCGGGCGACCCCCCGTCAGATGTATGGGGGGTGTTCGAAGAATCGTGGGAGGGGGGGGAGGCGCAACCCTCTCTCTAGGCTTCCAAGTTGGGGTCCGAGTAGATGGGGTAGGGAGATCGCGCCGCATCGCCGATGCATCGCCGATGCCGCTCGCCGTGGAGCCCACGTTTCTGAAAGCCGACGGCGCCGATGCATCGCCGGTGCCGTTTCGGCATCGCCGATGCATCGGCGATGCATCGCCGATGTATCGCCGATGCGGCGCGATCCTCCCACCCCAATCTATTCGGACCCCATCCAGGAGCCCTCTCGTGTCTCAAAAGGGGGGGGGTCGAACCGACGGGGAGACCTTCTGCCTAAATTGCAAGGGGTGAGCGGGTTCGAACCGGCCACCCCCCATCCTTGCAACCGACGACGGCGAGCGCGGTGCCGGCGCCGTCGGGAAGCGGCGACGACGACGGCGACGACGATGACGAAGACGACGACGAAGGTGATGACGCTGACGACGACGACGACAACCGACGACGACGACGACGACGACGGCGGCGGCAGCGGCGGCGGCGACGACGACGACGACGACGGTGACGATTCCTGCGACGACGACGATGACGGTGACGCCGACGACGACGATACCGACGACGACGACGACGACGGCGACGACAGCGGCGACGACGACGCCGACCACGACGACGACATCGACGACGATGACAACGATGCCGACGACGAGACTACGACGACGACGACGGTGACGACGACGACGACGACGACGGCGACGATGACGGCGACGACGACAACGGCGACGACCACGACGTCCACGATGACGATCGATCCTGTCCCTCTCTCATTCGCTCGCTTGCTCGAGCGAGCGAGCGACCGAGCGACCACGCGAGCACCAGGCATCTAATCCCCGCCCGCCCGACCCCACCCGCCCTACTCGCTCGCTCGCTGGCTTGCTCGAGCAAGCGAGCGAGCGAGCGAGCACAATGCATTTAGTGTCCCGCATGTGCTGTCCCGCCCAATCCGCCCCACCGGGCTCGCTCGCTTGCATGCTTGCTCCAGCTGGCTAGCGAGCAAGCGACCACAATGCATTTCATGTCCCGCCCGCCCGGCCCGACCCGGCCCCTCTCTCACTCGCTTGCTCGACCCAGCGAGCAAGAGGACCGACTCACTCCTTCCGTTGCCCGCTCGCTCGCATGCTTGCTCCAGCTAGTGAGCGAGCGAGCAAGCGAGCACCCGTCGTTGCCGCCGTCGCCGTCGCCGTCGTCGTTGTTGTCGTCGGTGTCGTCGTCGTCATCGTCTTCGCCGTCGTCAACGTCGTCGGCGTCGTCGACGCGGTTGCCGTCACCGTCACCGTCGTTGTCATCGGCGTCAACACCGTCGTCGTCGTCACCGTCGTGGTCGTCGTCGTCGTCGTGGTCGTCGTCGTCGTCGTCGTCGTCGTCGTCGTCGTCGTCGTCATCGTCGTCGTCGTCGTCGTCACCGTCACCGTCACCGTCACCGTCACCGTCACCGTCACCGTCACCGTCACCGTCACCGTCGTCGCCGTCGTCGTCGTCGTCGCCGCCGCCGCCGTCGTCACCGTTGTCGTGGTCGTCGTCGTCGCCGCCGATGTCGTCGTCGTCGTCGTCGTCGTCGTCGTCGTCGTCGTCCTCGTCCTCGTCCTCGTCCTCGTCCTCGTCCTCGTCCTCGTCGTTGTCGTCGTCACCGTCGTCCCCGTCGCCACCGTCGTCGTCGTCGTCGTCGCCGTGGTCGTCGTCGTCGTCGTCGGCGTCGTCGTCGTTGTCGTCGTCGTCGCTGCCCGATGGCGCCAGCGCCGGCGTCAGCGCTCGCCGTCGTCGGTTGCAGGTGTGGGTGGCAGGTTCGAACTTCCCTTGCCCCCTGCAACTCAGGGGGAGCCCCCTCCCGGTTCGAACCCCCCTCCGTTCTTTACATGGGGACATGGGGGCGGGCTCTCCCCCAGTTCAAGCCCCCCATCGGCAACCCAGGGGGGGATCACTCTCCAGTTCGAACCCCCCCCCCTTGGACAAGGGGGGGGGCGTTTCGAACCCCCCCCTCAGCTAGGGAGGCCGGTGTCCAGAGTCCTACCCCCCAGTTTTCCAGGGGCGCTCAATGTTTTGGCAGGGGGGGGGCCCCCTGCTCCAACGTGGTGTTTTTTCCACGGAAGCGTCCACGGAACGCGTTCTCTCATACTTTCCCATGTTCCCTGTATCCTGAGACTGGTCTGTCGTTATTGCTCAGGCGTCTCCGACTCACACGTCACGTACATCCACCTTCCCCCACTCCTTCTTTTCCTCACTCAGATTCACTCATACTCAGACTCACTCGCCCTCAGACTCAGTCATACTCAGACTCACTCATACTCAGGCTCACTCGCACGCAGACTCAGTCATACTGAGACTCACTGACACTCAGACTCACTGACACTCCGACTTAATCATGGGCATATTCATTCACATTCAGACTCAGTCATACTATCACATTCAGTCATACACAGAGCCACCGACACATACTCACTCACACTCAGACTCACTCACGCGTGTCGGCGAGTCTTTGGTTTCAGCACCCCAGGGGGAGAGCCACCAGGGGTGGTAGTATTTTAAGTAGTAGCTGATCACACCAGTAGCAGTAGTAGCAGTAGTAGCAGTAGTAGCAGTAGTTGCAGTAGTTGCAGTAGTAGCAGTAGTACCAGTTGCATCAGTAGTAGCTGTAGTGACCCGAAGTGGGCGGGAAGGACGGGTGGGCTGCGCAGTAAGCGGCATCCCGATCAGCACGCCTTCCTCGCGTGCTTCGTGGTCGAGGTGCTGCTCCGCGTCCTTGCCCTCGGGATTAGCAAGGTCGTCCAGAGCAGGTGGTTCATGTTCGACCTCGTCATTGTCTCCACCGGGGTGACATCGACCTGGACGCGGGGAGGGGAGGCCATCGGTTGCTAATTTTCTGGCGCCTACGTGTGCTATTGCACAGGTGGACGCGCCACTGTGGCCCAATTTGCGCAGCTGGAGAGAACGCACTGACGTGGAACGCGTGGAAGCACAGAGGATTCGGTTGTCAGCATGCCCGCTACATGTTGGAGCGATTGGCGCCGTGGAAAGTAGAAACCAAGCAGGAGTAGACGCACGCGGTGAATGCACAGGGTTGCCATGTTCCGATCGTCAGTTGTTTGGGGCCTCTGGTTGACCGCGGGGAACGTTGCCGAATTGCTGAAAGGGTTCCCTGGGAGGCTTCCCAGAGTTGCCCAAACCCTCGTTGGGCGTCTTGGGGGGTCTTCGACCGCCCCGACGTCACGAAGGCCGTCGGGGCCTTCTTGGAGGCGTCTGGCGCTCTCTCGGGGCCGTCTTGAGACGATCTGAGGGCGTTCTGGCACTGCTCCCAACCCTCCTGTGGACTTGCGCGGGCCTCGCCTCTTCTTCGCCGCGGCCCGCGCCTGCCTCCCACCTCCGCTCCCTCCCGCTCCTCCCGCCTCTGCCGCCGCCGCCGCCCGCGCCTCCCCTGCCTTCGCTGCTGCTGCGCTGCCGTCTGCTGCCGGCCGCCTGCTGCCGGCCGCTGCCGCCGGCGTCGATGCCCCTGCTGCTGCGCCGCCAGCGGCTGCTGCTGCCGTTGCGGCCCGCGCGCCCGCGTTGGCACACCTCGCGCACGTTCCGTGCCGCACAGGCGCGCTCTCCAGAAAGGGCCTCGCCGTCGAGGGTCGAGCAGGCTGACGTCTCTCTTGTCGGCGGAAGGCGGGCGGAAGGCTGGCCGAAGCTGGCGGAAGTACGGATCGCCGCCCCAAGAGATGCCATGTTTCGGTTGCAGAAGGGTTTCCGGCATTGGGTCCCTGCTGCAATCCCAGGGGACGCAACCAGTTTTCGGGTGACTTACCCGTTGGTGGGTCACCTGTGCGGCGCGCGCTACATAGGGGAAACGCATGGAGTAGGAACGCACCAATTCATGTTGAGGCCCAGAGTGCAAACGAAACAACGGGGTACCTACCCGCTGGTGGGTCACCCGTGCGGTGCACGCTACACAGGGGAAGGCGTGGAGTAGGAACGCACCAACTCATGTTGAGGCCCAGAATGCAGCCGAAACAACGGGGTTGTTTAAACATTTTCCGGGTAACGAACCCGCTGGTGGGTCACCTGCGCAGTGCGCGTTGCACAGGGGAAAAAGATTGAGTAGAAACGCACCAACTCGTGTTGAGGTCCGGAATGCAAGTGAAGCAGCAGGCGTTTCTCAACTAGGATTCGGGTGACCCACTCGCTGGGGGGTCACCCGGGCGGTGCGCGCTGCACAGGGAATTTCCTTGAGGGGAACGTATGGAGTAGGAACGCGCCAGCTCATGATGAGGCCCAGAGCGCAAGTGAAACAAGTGGCTTTCCTGAACCAGTTTTCGGGTGACCTACCCGCTTGTGGGTCACCCGTGCGGTGCGCGCTACACAGGGGAAGGCGTGGAGTAGGAACGCACCAACTCATGTAGAGGTCCAGAGTGCAAGTGAACCAACAGGTTTTTCTCAAACAGTTTTCGGGTGACCCACCCGCTGGTGGGTCACCCGTGCGGTGCGCGCTACACAGGGGAAGTTTGTAGGAACGCAACAACTCATGTTGAGGCCCAGAGCGCAAGTGAACCAGCAGGTTTTTCTCAAACAGTTTTCGGGTGACCCACCCGCTGGTGGGTCACCCGTACGGTGCGCGCTACGCAGGGGAACGCATGGAGTAGGAGCGCACCAACTCACGATGAGGCCCAGAGTGCAACTGAAGCAATGGTTTGTTTCCCCACCAGTTTTCGGGTGACCTACCCGCTTGTGGGTCACCCGTGCGCTGCGCGTTTCACAGAAGGAGCGCATGGAGTAGGATCGCACCAACTCATGTTGAGGCCCAGAATGCAACTGAAGGATTTTTTTTTTTTTTTTTTTTTTCTGAACCAGTTCTCGGGTGAACAGCCCGCAGGTGGGTCACCAACGTGGTGCGCGCTACGCAGTGTAAGCATACGGAGCAGAAACGCACCAACTCATGTTGAGGCACCGAATGCAAGCAAAGCACTTTGTTTTTTTTCTACAGTGTTCCCGTGACCCACCCGTTGGTGGGTCACCCGTGCGGTGCGCGCTGCAGTTTTCTCCTCCTGGCCATCCTCCGATCCCACTCTCCTGAGTTCCGCCCCTCCTCCCATCCATCCCTCCTCCCACCCATCCCCACAAAGACCAGTCCTCCCCCCGGAGCTGTCCTTTCTCCTGCGCATCTCTTCTCCTGTCCATCCCTGCCCCGAGCCTTCCCTTCTCGTGTCCATCCCTGCCTCGGCGACGTCATGCTGGCCGTCGTCGTGGTCGTGGTCGACGCCTCGTCTGCGCTGGGGGGCTTCACCAGGGTGGCTCTGCTGTGCGCTGCTAGGCCCAGCTAAATTGCGCTGGCCCCTGCCTGACGCAACCCATGAACTGCCCCCCCCCCCCCGCGGAAAGTTGCACTGCGCGCCCTCTTGCCGCCGCGATCTGCGCGCTCGTCCGCGGCGACTTCGCGAGTGCGCGGCCTGCGCTCGGGGCGCCGTTCGGCGGCCGCCGCCGCGCCGCGGGTGCTTCGGGTCGCTCTGCCGCGGGAGGGTGGTCTGCGCGTCCTCTTGTCTGCGACGTCGTGGCGGCAGGCCGCTCTCCCTGCGGGCGCGGGAGGGTGGTCTGCGCGTCCTCTTTGTCTGCGACGCCCGCGGCCGCACCTTTGTTCTCGGTCCCCCTCGCGGTGCCGGAGTGGTTCCGCGTGTTCTTCCCTTGGGCTCCGACTGACTGCTGTTGTGGACCTCAAAGGAGGCAACCTGTGGCGGCAGTCTCGTACAGCAGAGGCGCTTGTGCGCGGGAGCTAGCGCCTTGTGCCCTGGAGGGCTTTCATCCCGAGGCCCTGTCAAAAAAAAACTTCCCCGGAGCCTTCAGGAATCAACCAGGGTCCTTGGGATATACCCATCAGAAATCTGAAGAAAGGCGTGTGTTGTTGTGGGCTCCAGATTTCGGCTAAGGGAATCAAGAGTCTGGACTGGACACTGGGCGCTTTCATGGGGCTTTCTTTCTTCGTAGACTGTTCGTGTACGTGGACCTGGACTAATGTTTAAGAGAACTCTTGGAGTGAAGTCGATGTTCTTCGCGTGCACTGTTCTTAACACTGAGTTGGGGTGTACCTCGGGAGTCCTTAGGAACCTTCAGGAGTTCTCAGGTTTTGCGTGGTGGGTGGAGCGGCCAGTTGGACACCCTTGGTGTCCTCTCGGGTGCGCGCCCCCCGTCACGAAGCTGCGGGCCGACCGCGTGTGACTGCGGTCGCTGCCTCGGCAGTGTGCCCTTGTGTCCTGTGGCTTTTGGAGGCCTTTTAACAGTCGGAAGAACATTGTGTCCTGTCGCGTGTCCTGTGCAGTCCGCCCCACCTGTAATCGATTCGGGCTCACTTCACCAGGCTGGCCATCTCGGTTTTAGCGCCAGACTGCCAGGTTGAGATTCGGTGCCTTTCTCCCCAAGGAAAGGTGCGCCATGATCTTTGCTCAAGCAGGCCGCCAGGTTGGGCAACATGCCAGATTTGTTTCAAATCGCATGTATATTTATGCATGCATCGTGCTGGGTTCGTTTACCACATCGATCCGATTTGAGTTTGTTTTTTTGGCCAAGTTGGGTCAGATTGGTTTCCTACGCCAGACTGCCAGAGTGGGCCCGCCAGATTGGCGCCACATTGGTTTCGACCTCCCAGCGATACATCCTCCAGAATCGATTTGTCCTGTCCCATTTTTTTCCTGGCCCAAGTTCCGTTTTAGCTCTCGCCCTACAACCGACCACATTCGTCATGCGGGCTGGCGCGGAAACCTCGATACAGTCAGCACTTTGGCGCTGCACCTCGCTGTGTCGCGCCATCCCGCTGTGTTTTTGCAGCCATGCGCGCGTGAAACATTAGCGCCGCCGGGCCGTTCGTCAGGCTAGCTTGGACAGGGGCAGGTTGAATTTCGCGCGGTGTCGAGAGGAAGTAGGTCTGGTTTGGTGATGGATCTGTCACCTTAGGGGGGATGCATGCTGGGGTCAGGACGACGACGACGATTCGTCTTCCCACCCATTTGCCTGCCACCTTCTTTCCAGAAGAGCACACTTTCCTGGGGGAGAGCGAATCCGCCAGCACGAGGGGCGATGTGCTCCCTGGGGACGCTGCGCGCTGCTTCGGGCTTTGCTCCGAGTCCTCGAGGAGGAGGAATATCAAGATCAGAGAAACTATGGATTCAGTTTGTGTCGGGGTTTCGGTTTTCTGCTATGCCTGGCGGCCCATAGGGGCCAGACGGATCGCGAGGAGGCGGATGAGGAGGAGGAGGAGGAGGATGATGATGATGAGGAGGAGGAGGAGGAGGGGCCATCTGTGGTTGTGGCTCCTCGCGTTTCTCCGGCCTGCCTCTCTCCCCTCCCCCTCCTCCCTCTCTCCCTAAACCCCCCTCCCTCCTCCTCCCCCCGCCCCTTCCCCCCGCAATGGGACGAATTACAACCGACTAGTCCCAATTCCAACCGTTCGGAGCGAATTGCAACCATAAATGGGACCAGTTACAACCATGGGATCTTCAGAAATATTTCTTTCTTCTTCAGAAGTACTTCGATTCCTTAGGATTCCTTATGATTCCTTAGGGTTCCTTAGTGTCCTTAGGATTCCTTAGGGTCCTTGGGATTCCTTGGGATCCTGAGGAATATTTGCGAATCCATGGGAGTCCTGAAAAATCCTTAGGGGAAGGGGGCGCTTTTGGGGCCTTCTTGAGTTCGCTTTGGGCCACTCTTAAGGCCCGCTTGGGGCCTTCTTGGAGCCCTCCTGGGACCCTTATTGACTTTTCTTGGCGCCAAAATAAGCCCTAGAAGGGCCAACTCTCGAGGGCTGCAGGAGGACCAACTTTTAGGGTCAATACTACGAAAATTACTACCACTTCGACCTACTGCT